GCCTTGTAAAATCGTAGTAAAAGGTTTCCATGTAAATTCGTTGTTAAATCTTTACCAACCAAGCACGAAAATTTTCTATATATATGTCATTCATAATCACTCCTAAGAACACCACAAACAAAAACAAAAAAATTCGTAGAAAGAAAAAAAATTCGTAGAAAAAAAAAATTTGATAACTTATGTATCGATTTTTGAAGAAATTATAATGTGTGAACAGTCACCAGAACAGTTCTAATCAACTCCTGGTAACTTTTTTTCGAGAAGTCGATAAATAGATACGAGAAGTTTATGAGAACTGTTCTGGTAACTGTCCACGCATTTTAGGTTTGTTTAAGTAATGAAGAAAAAAATTTATCCAAATTTTTTTTTTAACTTTCGTTGTAAATTCGTCGTAAATTTACTATGGCTTTACGACGAATACTGGTAGGTGAACACGACTTTAATGTGTAACTGATGTCGTTGTAAACATGTTGTAACCAATATGTTAGAGACATGTAATATCCATGTAAATATGTTCCTTGTAAATACGTTGTAAATTTTCACCTACCAATTTTCGTGCATTTGCTATATATATGAGCATTTCTCATTTCTCATTTCATACCACCACACAAAAACAAATAAAAAAATGTCGGATGGAAGAAATACTTTCGAATTGCGGAGTTGGATGTATACACATAAAGATTCTGACGGTAGAGTGACGAATGAATTTCTTAGCGGGCTTGAGACGTTCATGAACCAGGCAGCATGTACACCGCTCACGCAGGAAAATGGTAAGATGTTCTGTCCTTCTCAGAAATGCAAGAATTCAAAATTTGCTCGTACGGAAACTGTCTGGAAACATTTAGTACACTAAGGTTTTACACCACAGTATTATATTTGGTTTCAACATGGAGAGGGTTATGGAGGAAATGAAGCTAGTAGTAGTAATAGTAATTTTCGGAATGTCAGTAATAATCAGGGTGTTGAACAGATGGTAGATCATGATAGGGTTCACGACATGATTACTGATGCATTTTTAGAAACTACTACAACAATAGCAGATGAAAATGTTCATGTTGAAGAACCTAATTTGGATGCAAAAAGGTTTTATGAAATGCTAGATGCTGCAAATCAACCAATCTACACTGGTTGTAGAGAAGGTCACTCTAAATTATCTCTAGCAGCTAGGATGATGAATATTAAAACGGATCATAATTTACCTGAGAACTGCATGAATGCATGGGCGGAGTTGTTTAAAGAGTATTTGCCAGAAGACAACGTGTCAGCTGAATCTTATTACGAGATTCAGAAATTGGTTTATAGTCTTGGGTTGCCATCGGAGATGATAGATGTTTGCATCGACAACTGCATGATCTACTGGAGATATGATGAGAAGCTAGAAGAGTGTCGATTCTGCAAGAAGCCACGATTCAAACCGCAAGGACGTGGAAGGAATAGGGTTCCGTACCAAAGAATGTGGTACTTACCAATCAAAGATAGGCTGAAAAGATTATATCAATCTGAGAGGACTGCAGCAGCGATAAGGTGGCATGCTGAACATGTCCAGCGGGATGGCGAGATTTCTCATCCATCAGATGCAAGAGCTTGGAAACATTTTAACAACGTACACCCAGATTTCACAAGAAATATTAGAAATGTCTATCTTGGATTATGCACAGACGGATTTAGTCCATTTGGAATGTCCGGGAAACAATACTCTTTGTGGCCAGTCATTCTTACGCCGTACAACCTGCCTCCGGAGATCTGTATGGAACAAGAATTTCTATTCTTGACCATATTAATCCCTGGTCCGAAGCATCCAAAGCGGTCCCTAGATGTTTTTCTTCAACCATTGATACAAGAGCTGAAGGACTTGTGGTCAGAAGGGGTCAGGACGTATGATTGTTCCTTGAAAAATAATTTTACGTTGTGAGCAGTACTGCTTTGGACAATAAGTGATTTTCCTGCTTATGGTATGCTTTCTGGTTGGACTACACATGGAAGGTTATCTTGTCCACATTGTCTTGGATCGACATATGCTTTTCAACTGAAGAATGGTAGGACGAGTTGTTGGTTTGATTGTCATCGTAGATTTCTTCCCCTTACCCATCCCTACCGAAGAAATAAGACATTGTTTAGGTACAAAAAAGTTGTAAGGGATAGTCCTCCTCCATATCTCACTGGAGAACAGATCCTATCGCAAATTGATTACTACGGAGCTCAGGAAACTGTTCCCCGTGGAGGAAACTGGCATGTTCCTGGAAATATGCCTGATGGATATGGGGTCAGTCACAATTGGCATACGAAGAGTATATTTTGGCAGCTGCCTTATTGGAAGGATCTTCTTTTACGCCACAACCTCGATGTTATGCATATAGGGAAGAACTTCTTTGACAACATCATAAATACGATACTGAATGTCCCAGGAAAGACAAAAGATAGCAAAAAGTCAAGGATGGACTTACCTGATATTTTCTCAAGAAGTGAGTTACATATCAAAAGCAATGGAAACATTCCAGTTCCTATCTTCCGATTGTCATCAGAAGCGAAGACGACTTTGTTTAACTGGGTTCAATCAGAATTTAAGTTCCATGATGGATATGTCTCTAATCTCTCAAGATGTGTTGAACAAGGTCAAAAGTTCTCAGGAATGAAGAGTCATGACTGTCATGTGTTTATGCAACGACTACTTCCATTCGCTTTTGCTGAGTTGCTTCCAGCAAAGGTACATGAAGCACTTGCAGGTAAATATTGTTGATTAGTCAATAATATATATACATATATTATGAAATGTTAATATTATATATACAATTTGCAGCCATTGGAGCATTCTTCAGAGACCTAAACACATGTACATTCAAGGAAGAATTTATCGAGCAACTTCATGAGAACATTCCGATCATATTGTGCAACTTAGAGAAAATTTTGCCTCCAGCATTTTTTGACGTCATGGAACATCTTGTTGTTCACCTCGCATACAAGGCATTGCTTCGTGGTCCTGTTCACCATGGATGGATGTATCCGTATGAGCGCGCTATGAAACATTTGAAGGGGAAAGCAAAACATCTTGCAAAGGTGGAAGGTTCAATAATTGCGGGGAGTTTGACAGCGGAAACATCTCACTTCACATCATACTACTTTTCACCAACACTACGTACAAGAACAAGAGTTCCTAGAAGATATGATGATGGTGGAGTCATCCCCACATATCCAATAAGCAATGTTCCTGATATTTTCTGCCAAATTGGACGGTTTGGTGGGAGATTGCGAGAAATATGGTGGTCTAGTGACGAGGATAAGCATAGTGCCCACACTTATATTCTGCTTAACTGCGAGCATTCAGTGACACCTTCATTTGAAAGGTAAATAGTAATGTGAATTTAAATTATATGAAGTTCGATGTTATATATATTGATGTGATTACATTAATTTAATTTGCAGTTCCTTTGTAACGCAAGTAGAAGCAGCAATACCTGGAGTATCTGCAACTGAAGTGGACCGACAAAAAGATCAACACTATGTCACGTGGTTAAAATCTTAGGTAATATATATACCTCAAATATTACGTAAGTAATGCTAATATACATTGTTAACATATTAATTTTGTAGGTTGAAGCTGATGATCCATATTACCCCCCATGGTTTCACGATTTGGTCCGAGGTCCAGTAGAGAAAGTCACCACATCACATATGTATTTTACACGCGGTTTTACGTTTCATACATACGGCTATGGGATTCGTCGGGCAACTAGTAACTACGGAATATGTGTGA